GATCAGATCTGAGCCCCAATTAAAACACCTGAATTGTATATGTGGACAAGCAAATTATTTTTATGAAATAATTTGCAAGGCTATACTGACCCCTGAACTGCTCCCCACTGCTCTGTAAGTTATAGCCATACCATCTAAGGCAGGGGTCCCCAACCCCGATCCATGGACCGGCACCAGTTCATGGCATGCCAGAAAACAGTCCACGCAAACAAAGCCCCATCCGCAGGATGCAGGGGGTACATGAAACCACGCCCCCTCCGGTCCACAGAAAAACCTCTCTCCAGGGAACCGGTCCCTGGCGCCCAGAATATTGGGGGGGGGGGGACTGATCTAAAGAAAGCAGTTTTTCATGGCATCCTTATCTGCCGATAAATGATAAACTGCAGAGAAAATTTACCACACCATACTGTGGTCATTTAAAAATGCTTATGCAAAGATAGGGAGGTAATAACCCTCAAACCAGTAACTATCTCCACTGCTCATTTTGTATCACCAACAGTTATACTGCAAATATGCACAGCCTTGCATTAAAGATCACTATCATCCCAAAAGAGGACAGCTAAGGTTGCAAACCTTTGGGGGGTCAAGGCCTACAGAGTTTGCTCACACCTGCAGCCCTATTTCACCAACGATAACATTTCCGGAAATCCAATCATCAACCGATTCAGCTGAACTTTTGCATTCTAAAAGCAAACACGGACTATTTAAACTAGGATAAATTAACTTTTCAGAGCCAAAGCTTTCTTTAGGCAACTGATCTTAAAAGCCTGTGCATTTGTTGCGGAAAAATTGCGGCAATAAATCTCAAGTCCATTCTGCCCTTGTTAAGGGCAATTCATTTGCCTTCAGAATCTTTTTACATATCATTTTCATAACAAGTGCTTATTAAAACACAAACTTTGCTAAAGCAGAACAGACCAGACAGAGAAACTTTCAAAACGTAAGTGCAGGATAAAAATATGGCTTTTCTATGTAAGAAATGCAAGGCTGAATACACAAAACCCGATGTATATTTTAATATTTTCACTGTGGCTTTGAGATATTAATGCAAGTTGGGAGGTAAGCACAAAAGGAGGGGGGGAAACTATACAAGGAGGATTTAGATCACACAGTACCAAAACTCCAGACCTTGGGAATCAAACTCTAAAATGATAGTTTGTACTAAGTAGGCAGAAATCACCCAGCAAAAAATTGAAATAGTTACATTAGGAACACTGCAAGTGCTTTTCGAAATGAGATTAGCACTGACATCTTTCCAACAAAGACAAAGAAGGGATAAAACCACCAAAGTAAGATGCTTTCATAAAAGATATATTTTGGCAGCGCCAAGTTTTATATTTGAATCAAACTTTTCAGTTTGTGTTAGAATTTTCGTAACGTCCAAAAGCTGCACACTTTTCTCTCCCATTATGTTCAATGTATTTTATCTCTGTGCTACCTACTTTATCACTAGACAGAGGGGAAAATTCGTGGTAAATGGTATTTTTGTTAAAATAGTCTCTAAATTTGGAAGAGTTAGATTAGATATGACTGCTCTGACAAGCCCAGAAGATAATCTAGAAAAAAACAACTATTCAGTCATCAAGCATATATTTTCTTGAACTTCCATTAAGGAATAAAATGTTTCAATCTAGTTTACACATTTAATCAATGGGCGTAATGCAGAAATGCCTAATCTTTTCCATGCTTGCAGCTTTCAAGCATCTTTTCCTGTCCAATCAGGAGGATCCTTACAACTTTTTGCCATTTTCATTTCGTTTTGTCCTGCTTGTACCTTTTGTCTAACTTCACAAAACCTGTAAAAACCAATGTCACTTGGAATGAATCAGCACCACCCTGAAGCACTCACGTACCTTAAAGCTTTTCAAACACATTAATTCAATTTATGCCAAACCACAATTATGGACTTAATAGAATGATATAATCCTTTCTCCCATAAACAGAAAAAAGGGATAGAGTAAGACTTCCATCCACTTTGGATTGACACCTTTTCAAAATTAACAAGCCACACACATAGCTTTATTCTAAAGCAGTGATTTTTCAAACTTGGCAACTTTAAAATATATGAACTTCAACTCCTAGAATTCCGTAGCCAGTAATGGCTGGCTGGGGAATTCTGGGAGTTGAAGTCCACACATCTTAAAGTCCCAAAGATTGAAAAACACTGCTGTAAAGATTCCTGACACCACAGAAAGAAGACTAAATTATTATGAAAGTTCAATACAAAAGCAGGTCTTGAGAAATGGATTCCATTGTGCTGGATGTTTTTAACAAAGATTAGACCACCATTTATCTGGGTTGGGTTATTCCATCACTTAGGGAGTTGAACCTTATGGTACATATGGATTCCACACTTTATTCTTCTGGAAGCATTAACCAAAATTTGGGATTTAAATGTTGGTTGGCCAAAAGCTGTGTTCTTACACACTAAGCCAAAATAAGAAACCACATAATGATTTAGTGTGATGTCTTCACTTTTTGTTGTCTCTTTCCAGTACATATTTCAAAAATGTTTTGGTTTGATGGATTAATTACATCATCAAATTTTCAAGGTAGGGATACATACTGAATTATTTTGCTTTCACTGAAATAAATTTCACTCTGTTTATTAGCCTATGTCTATATTCCCCTAACTAGTTTATTTTGCAGAATGGCTGAGGGAGAAGGCTCTTTATCTAAAACACTGTTATTGCAGCTTCATTATTATTAATTCTAAAGAAAGTAGAATTATTCTGTTGCACTTCTATGGCTGACATTACTATAGTTTAGGGACGTAAATTTGCCATTTTAACAGATGTTTTACCCATTTTAGTGAGGGTGACAGCATTTACCGCAAAGGATGTACTTGAAAAAAAAAACCCAGAATATTTTTTTAATTCAAAAAAATGCATCAACATGAGTACAACAACTCTTCTTAGTCACTATTTTCTCTAGTCGCTGTGTACTTTAAAATGTGCACATTAACTATAATCTCCTACAGGAATATAACAAAGGTTAGGAACTGGATTTCAATATTTGGAATTCTCTGCAGTCTTATTACTAATGCTTTCTCTGCTGGAGATCAGTTGGATCTACTGCTGTTATCTACATGGCACCACTTTAAGATGTCATTCTCTGCCCTGGCATTTCAGAGAGTTGTGTAGTGTGTTTGTATACTGTTTTAATACTTAAATTGTTCTAATGTGGTGTTACCTTTGGGTTTATTGTATTGTAACTCTGTCTAAGATAATAAGCAGATTTTCTTAGAAAACACTTTGAATACATAAATCATACAAGCTTCCCCCCTCAATAAAAAGTAGAGGAAATGGCAGCAATTTTTTCCCCTTTAAAATCCCACATTCAGAGATGGACATAAGGCAGCTAATGAGTTCAAAAATCTCTACCTTATTCCTTTCCAGATCAAACTTTTATACCGTTCCAGTTTTTGAGAAACATTTTGGGGCAGGGGGGGAGCGGTCCCTTTCTATCCCATTTTGACACTTGGGCAATTTGTGCTTCTACCATTATATTCCTTCCTCTTACCCGACAGGCAGAAAGCAACCATAAATAACTCCATGGAAAAAAAAAAAAGTCAGTATAAATTAGCATGGGAACCCTGCAGATTCAAAAGGTCGGCACCGTTTGCGTGGAAAGCTGGGAAGAAGAGGAAAACAAAGTCAAGGAGAACTTCAGCAGTCCTGCAAATTCTTTACTCTGATAAACGCTCCAAATTCATTCATGGTTGCAGACAGAAATTCTAAGAAAGGAACATTAGGTGCTTGCAGATGTCCTTGAAAAGGGACAGTCCAAATATCTGCTACTTACATTCTCTCCCCCCCTCCCTCCCTCCATTTCATTATTCCCACTTTTCTTCTGCTCGTCTTCCTAATCCAACAGGACACTGAAAAACTACCCCATGCCCACTACTACAGATCAATTAGTCTTTGATGATAACGTCCTCCAGGAAAACAGAGGAGAGAGATCAACTAAATGGGAGTTTTGGCCCAAGTGAACACAGCTAAATCAGTCCCAACTGCAAGAAGTCTCCAAACTTGGGGGAGATGCATGGTTAACACTTGTGGCTCCAGAAGGACAATGTCAGTTTGTATTTTAAAAAGAAACTCATCCCACGGACGAAAATAGTTGCTCCGGGTTAAAACAACATTGTGATTTAAGGGGGGGGGGGGAAACCTAGCAACTACCTAACCCAGACAGATAGCCAACTCTGAAAGTTGCCTTTGTAGCCACCTCCCCATCCAGAGGTAGCCGTTGGACAAAAGCTGTTTTGAATATGACCGAGATGTCCTTGCAAGCAACCCACAGCATAATACAAGGCAGCTCTGAGAGTTGGGGGTGGGTGGGGAAGAGAAAATAGGTCACTCATCCAATCAAATTTAAGACCTTTTGTTTTCAAAACCTCTTTCTTCCCCGTCTTTTTTTTTTTTTTCTCTCTCAAAAGCTTCGGACCCTCCTCTCCCCAACCAAAAAAAAGCTAGTGAATTAATGAACTAGCCCTATTCACAAGTTATGCCCAAGGGGGGAGGGAAAAAAAACAGAAGGAGGGATGAGCAGCCATTTCTCTTTTGCACCAAGAAAAACAAACACGGTTCTACATTCATCACTCCCCCCCCCAAAAGACAGAAAAAAAAGCACACGCTCAACTTCAAACCCTTCTAGCTTTGTCAATACACCGCAGCTGCTCAGCGTAACAATATAGAAAACACCCACCACTCCGAAAGACTTGTTGTTTTTTAACCAGGCAATGCCAAATGACATAGGACCCATAAGGAGTTGATTACCCCTGGAGTAATACTTCGTTCACAACTCTCTGGCATTTCTCACCAGTCTTAAGATACACAAGGCATGTCATGTCAACCTTTAAGGAAGGGGAAAAAAAATCTCTTCTGTTCCATTCCCCACCCCCACCCCATTTCCATCTTGCTTCCCCCAATCTGCTCTAACCAGCAACTAATGCAACTCACAGCATGCCTTAAAATTCATTATTGATTATTCTTTCTTACCTTAGGTTGAGCTCTTCGTGGAAATGCAACTTTGGGGTCAATCTGTGGGATGGGGGGGGGTGGAGGGGGGGAGAAATGGAAAGCAAGATCATTTGCATATTTTCTGTAGAAAGGCAAAAAAACCGTACAACTGAAAGATTGCGCTGAATCATTAATCCTTCATTTCTCAGGTATAAGATTTCTTGCAGAGGAGCTAGCGGGAAAAGTCATAACACGCAGAACAGAAAGGAAAACAGCATGTTCAGTGACTTAACTGTTGGGAACTTTTAAAAAGCTTCCTCTTTCCTTCTTCAAACTAGTGTTAATTAGATCGTCCAACCCTGAATGTCAGACACAATCTGCCTTATTATATGTATTTAAAAATATGAATATGAATATGACATTTTGGGCAGCGGATTAGTCAGTCCATTTGTGTTTTATTTTCTTATCTGCTGTTAAGGCCTCCACAGTTTAAGAGACATTTAAATAGCAACGGCCTCTTTTAGGGAAGTTTTTTATGGCTGCAAAAAAAAAAAAAAAGTTGAATGATCAGATCTGATTTTGTATTTCATAATTAAGATACAATGGATACATGATTTCAAGAACCTAATACAAAGTTTGCATGTTTAGATTTTTATCAGATGTAGATTTCCTTTTTAAAAAAAATCACCTGAAGGCATATTAATTTTTTTGTTATTTGTTTTTAAATAATAGACTGAAGGAACTTAACAAGAGAGAAATTTTTCTAAAATCCAATTCAAAGAAACTTAACCATAGAGTCCCGTTTTCCTGCATTCTAACGCCACAAATTTATAGCTGCCACATTACAAAAAAAATGACTTGCCAACAATATGTTGAAAAAAGTTAATAAAATTTCAAAGCTACAATCAAAATACTCCTTATCAAAGCGTAATCTCTACCGTGAATTATAAATTTGTTTCACCTCAAGTTCTCAATCTTAATGCTATTTGGCTCCAAATGCTAGCTAAAATATTTTGAAATGAAAAGTACAAATAATTTTATTAGACACTCTTGAGTAGCAATTTGGAGAAAGGGAGTAAAATTTAGATTGAGCAGAAGTAGGAATTCTCTCAGCCCTCCATAAATTTTTAGAATTAACTTTACACCCTATAAGCATGTTAATATTTTAGAACTGAATTTTATTTTTAATAGTTTCAGCCTCTTCACCAATGAAAAAGGTAGTGCTGTTCTAACTGAAATAAAGGGGAATGTTAAAAGTTCTTTCCGAGCACAATCCTATATACGTATCCCTAGTAATTGAGCAAGCCCATAATAATTTTGTAGTTTCAAAAAAACTAAAAAAATAAACTTAGTCCTTCTGCCAACTGTTAACTGCCAACTTTTAAACTTTTGTTTTCATCTGGAAAAGAGTCTTAACCAAACTTTTGCTATAAAGAGGGTTTTGTGTTTTTTTTTTCAAAGTGTCTTTGGCAGGTAGAAGAAAATCTTTATTATTTGCATAGGAGATGATATATTCAAAGAGCTATCATTTCACTCAGAAATCTTAGCCTGCCCATTTAGGAAGGCAATTTTGCTTGTAATAAAAGTTTTAGAAAGAAAAATTACGTACCTGAGAAGTACCTGAGAAGTGATTGATTATATATCATCGTAACAGTTCATCAAGCATACACAAAAAACTCACAAAACTTTCATCTAGAAAGCTACCCTTTTCCTAGAAAGTAACATCCAGTGGTGAGATTCAGCCAGTTCATACCACTTCGGCAGAACCGGTAGCTAATTTTTTGTTGCCCAGGCCCAGAATGGACTTCCGGAAGTGGCATCCACACAGAGAACCGGTTGTTCACATATTTGAATCCTACCACTGGTAACATCCATCTACATATATACTCAGCACCAGCTAGAATATTTGGCTACCAGAGAAACCCAACAGGTGTAGATTTCCCACTGTCCAAAACATTAAAAATGTGCCTGAGGGGTGGCAAATAAACATCATGCAGCTGTCATATTAACTCCCCTTAAAGTTTTAGCTGTTACTTTAAAAAGAAAAGAGGTGCAAGATGAACGCAGCCATTTTCCAGAAATTTACCCAAAGAAGAATGGATATTATCTAACAGATGGGCATCTTTTCAAAATTGCAAGGCGCTCCCCACTTGCCAGCCTGTTGCGACCCCATTCAGCAGCTCTATGCCTGTTGTGCATCCCTATAAACTATTTAAACAAGAGACAACAGAAAAAAAGAGGCTACTAAAAATAAACTTAGTTAGGTACAATGCTACTTACTATATCTACAAGTCCTCTAGGAAATGACTAATAATAACACTATTTCTGATACCAATGGCCATTACCTAAACCAAGCCTCTAATGTAACCGTAAACAAGAGCAGGCAACTTCCGTGTCAATAGCAAACCGAGCCGTTTCCTGTGCTCAGCGTTGAAACAGGGTCAAATGTTAGCAATACTAAAGGACAAGAAACTATCAGAGGTCTAACAAGGCAAAAGAAAGTATCTTTCATGTTTTGGCTGTTGTTTTTAAACAGTGATGAGAAATCCATTTCTGAACAAACCACTCAGAAGCGTTCACTCCCACATCCAAAATCAAAGCAATGCCATTTCGTCTGGCTGGCATTGCAGTATGATAGGAAGTTTCCTATAAGTATTTCCAAGCTTCCCACTTTCGACTCACAGAAGTAACCAGGGTAACTAACTTCAGATGCACAAATCAGGGTTTGTTCACATAGTTTGCTAACCTCTCCTGGGGCCCCTTCTTCTTTGTTGTCCATTTTATAGGACAATATAAAGAAGTTCCATCCTTCAGTTTGATCTCTAAGTCCGCCCTCCCCCGTAGTGCACAAAAACAAACAGCCATAAATTACCTTCCAACAATTATATCTTCTTGGACAATACATTTAATAAGTTACCTGCCTGGATTTTTACTAAAACTATTTTAGAATTGATTTCTCAGGATCGCTCCTGAGGCTTTGGAAGCTTTCTCTCCCCCCACCCTGAAATAATTGGGGAATGTTTAAATATGAGTCACATGTTCAGACAAGTCCAACAGGACACATACTCAAAGTTATTAGAATTTGGAGGGAAGGCAATAAAGCTAAGGACATTTTTAGACATAATAATCTCATTTATTTTAAAAGAGATACATATAAAGCAAGGCTCGGTAACCTTAAGACCATAATTTCTCCATTAATTTCTTGGTTTAAAGGATAATTTTACACACTTCCCTGCAAGTCAAAGTGTTGTAATGATGAAACAATAATCATCTTGAAACTAAATAAAAACAAGCTTCTGCTCACAGTTTAAGAAATTACTTTTTATTGGTGTCTCTTTAAGCTACAGAATTAAAGTTGCAACTAATTAAATTGGCCAAATACAAACTTCCTTTCTGATGCTACAGAAGAGTTAGGATATCATGCAGAAATGGAAATATAGTGGCAGGAAGATGGGAGTATCAGACAATTAATCCCCTCTTAAACCAAAAAAGTATTTTTGCAATAGAAAAATTTGGGATATGATTCGAAAGGAACAGAAACGTATTGCAATTTTTCTTTGAAAGGGAGCTCTTTTCACTTGTTGCAATGTCTCAAAATGCCCTTTTCGTCTCAAAATGCCCTTTTCTGTTAGGCGAGGAAAAAAATAATAACTTCCTCAGTATTCCAGAAAGGAAGGCTAAGGAAAATAATACTCTGACAATTTAAAATTGCCCTGAAGTCCTCCTCTTTCAAAAAAATAAAGTAGCATCTTTCTAATCTCTCAAGAAGCTTCTCTAGTTATTCCCTTCCACTCACACAACTTGGATAGAGGGTATGTTTTTTGCAAACTAAATAGCGTAAGCATCAGTTAGCAGAAGGAAAAATAAATAAATACAATAAAACTGAACTGTCTTGGCCAACTAGTTAATATTTGAGCAAGGATGATTTCTTTTCTTTACAATATATAATGGAAACATGAGCTTCCATATCCTGCAAGGTAATGTAGCATTTCTTTGCACAATTATTGCAGTATTAATAACCTACCACAATACCCCTTCGAACAAATCCAGCCAAAAGGACACTGTCTCTTTAAATGAGCCTGTCACAGTCATAATATTGCAGGAAATAATGGAGACATTAAACACACACACACACACACACACACACACACACATACACACACCAATATCACATTGTGTAACGTACCGTCTTGGAATCTAATTCATGATGAGCTTGAGCTAATACTTTATCAACACTTGCCGGATCAGCAAATGTAACGAAACCAAACCCCCTGAAATAAGACAAAGAAGAGCTGAGGGGAAAAGGCACAGGAAATACTAAGAAAAGACAATAAATACATTTAAGATGCCCAATAAGACACAACCTAGATTTTCATATTGCTCTGAATCAAACCATCAGTCCTTTTCAGAAAATAGATTAGGGTTAAGGTGGAGTATAAAAAAAACTTATGCATGCCTCAAAATCTAACTCCTTTTCCACCTCTCAGTGCACGCATACAAAATTTTGCCATCTTCAGTTCATGCTTTGTTTAACCCAAAAGTAGAAAGCTGTAGGATTGGCTCTTTTTACTAAAAAAAAAAATTATATACTTTGGTTAGCCGAACAAGCAGTTAGAAGCAAGTTTCTCAAAATGAGACTCTCCAGAACCCTTATTTAATTTAACAGGTTTCCACTAGCAGAAAACATAAATTTCCCTTCTCATTTCAACATCTATATTTAAGACACAAGAGTTTCAAACACAGAAACTCTGTCTTTGAAACTCCTGTTTTCAAAGTTTTTTGTGAAGAAAAGCCAAAGGTTTTTAACTGCCTAATGTGCCTTAAAGAACTGCTAACACTTATTCTAAGCACACAGACCGTGCAGCCTTCCATAAAAATCACAGGAAAGGGAGAAAACTTTGATTTTAAAAAAAGAGGACAAACGGTTTACCTGGAGCGTTTTGTAGTTGGGTCCCGCATGACCATACATTCTCTAATGTCTCCAAATTTGCTAAAATAATCTCTAAGATTATCTGCGGAGCAGAAAAAGAGCGCAGAGA